TGTGTGTGTGTGTGTGTGTGTGTGTGTTTGTATGTGTGCGTGTGCTTCTGCCTGAGTAACCGAAGCGTCCTGTTTGATAATGCATAGTTTTTGTTGTAAGTGAATGTGACATTCAGTGTTGAGATAATAGATCGTCACGACACTCTTCTCTGAACTCAGATGGATCAGGAAAGTTCCTCCGCTCCTTTCGTCATGGGGCTTTTTACCTCTCAGTCCCGTATGATAACTAGCTAGCGAACGCTCTGCTTTCAAAATAACCCAAATAGTATATTATGTTTACACTCCTACGTTAAGGTACAAAAACAACAAAAACAACAACAACAACAACAACAACAATAACAAAACAACAACAACAACAACAACAACAACAACAACTAATTCCATTAATAAAGCAGCAACATCGCCACCACCACCACCACCACCACCACTATTTATCATCATCAGCATCATCCTTTTCATCATCATCATCATCATCATCATCATCATCATTAGCAGTAGCGTTAGCAGCAGCAGTATCAACAACAACAACCATGCCAACAATAACATCAGCAGCAGCAGCATCTTCGTCATCATCATGACCATCATCATCATCAGCAGCAGCAGCAATGACAACACCAGTTCTTTAAGTCGTCTGTTAAACATAACAAGAACATAGGCAAGAGGGGAAAAAACAACCCTCGACAGTGTCGACGTAACGACTGACCCCCCCCCCCAAACAGGTGGGGAATACAAATACATGTAGTTCGATACCCCGCCAGCAGGTAAGCCACTCTTTAACTAGCTGGGTGTCACTCGTACAATAAACGCTTTCAAGCGCAAGGGTGAGGAGGAGATTGGTATCATTTTCTCGTTTATTTGGTTTCTGTCCACTTCTTTGTAACGTTGTTTGTCCAATTAAAAACCTGGTCTTGGAAAAACCAGCACAGCAAATTTGACAGTATCGAAACCACGGTCAACATGACCTACAGTGCATAAAGGGGCATTATAATTGCGTCCAAACAATACCCTGCTTTCTAGGTTTGGTCTACTGTCCAGCTCTATTTCACAGTCGATCAAGGATACTGCCTCAGAGAACATAAACGTATCGCCCATTGTGTGTGGCTTGCCTTCAAATGGACGTGTTACCATCTTGTTGGGTTTTTTTTGTTTTTTTTTTTTTTATAGTAGAAGTTTTACGGCGCTCGCAACTTCATAAGGTCATAAGAGCGCCAAAGGGTGGATGTTACCAGAGAAGTCTTTACAGAGAATCGGGTTTACTCTGCTCACCTCTCTAGCTTCAACAGCACAAAGTCTGTTTCGACTTTCAAGGCACCACGGAAATAGTAGGTCACAAGAGTGTTACAAACATACAAAAGACGTAGAGGAAAATGACGATAGTAAGGATTAGGAAAGAAAAAGCAGCAGTTCCCTGTTGTAGTTCAGGCACAGTTATGAGCGTGACATTGTTGAATCAGCCCATTTATAATTCTACTGCGCATAAGAACGAGAAATGCCCCCCCTTTGGGGAATGGCCTAAAGACACTTCAGTCAGTGGCACCGACCGGGGGGGGGGGGGCATCTTGTTTGGCATGGCACTTTTTGGTATGATACTGAAAGTAACACACAATAGACGTCAGTTTGTGTCCAGGAGGGCGATACAAACAGCTTTTTAATGGCAGGTATTAACGCCTCGTTCAATACTTCATGGTTACTTTTGGAGGTGTTTTGTGTTTAAGAGGGTGGTGCACACAGGCTAAAATATATGCACCATTTCTACGCCTCTTTCAACATTTCATAGCTCTTTTGGGTGATTAATTTGTGGTGCACAGAGAAAAAAGATAAAAGCACACCTTCTAGGCACCGCCTCTGTGGGTCGTGGGTGTCCCTGTTCGTCACTGTCTAAGGAGTTGATGCTGGAGCGACGTCTCTGTTGACGAGACAGTTGCACGATGGTATTCTGGGACAGGCGTCGACTGGACACCAAGTCCAGGCGGGTGGACGCTCTACTGCCGATCGGCGGGAATACCAGTCGGTGGTACACTGTGGGGTGGGGAGTTGGGGAGGGGGGGTGTAGAGGGAAGGGTGTGGGGAATAGGTTGTGAGTGAGTTGTAATTTGAAGTGCGGAGAGTGGAGAGTGGGTGTAGGGTTTTGGAGCGAAATTGGAAGTGAGTGGAAGAAGGAGGGGGGAGAGTGATGAGTGAAGTGTACTTTAAGGAAAGTCAACAAAATAACGGCGACGTTTCTTCAGCAAAGAGTTAAGAGAACAGTAAGTGATAAGGGTAGAGCCGTGAGCTTCAGCGAGTCAGAACACAGTATGGCAATACAACTAACTCGTAGAAGTTGTATCAGTGGACGTAACACACTGAGCTATAGATCCGGAGAGTCAATAAGATAACTGTCACACTCAGAACGAAACAGATATAGCTCATGGTAAACACTACACAGAAAAAGAAGACGCAGACAACATGGGTTTGCCCACCAGGTTCCGGGGGGGGGGGGGGGGGGGATGCAATATCATAAGGAGATTGTAAGTTGTATTTTGCTATCTGATTTGAAATGTGGTGAACAGCCTTATGCCACAACATCTAACCTCAGGGTCCTTTTTTGTTTTGTTTTCTTTCATCTTTGCTTATTTGCGTACGGGACGGGGGGGGGGGGGGGTAAGCCCAGCCTGTGGGACCACAACTGCATGTTTTCCCCAGCTGTGTACAAAAAAGGGAAAAATATTCCTCGGTGACTTTTGTGTATATAAGCTATATTCTTACTGCATTGTCGACTCAAAAAAGCATTGTAATCAACACGTGGATTAAAAAAGCGATTTTATGTGTAGGAGGAAAAAATAGCACGTAGCATAATTAAATCTTGTGTCTAATGGGAAGAAACGTGTTGAGAACAATGTTTTCTGCTTTGAAGAAATGGCTTGGTCGTAGGATTTCTTTATTTTGCCTTGGTTTATACTTTAGAATGTCATTGTGAGAATGGTTTTATGGCACAATCTGTGACGCTTAGAAGGGTGCACATAATGCACAGAGTGATTGGACACGAAAATCAACTAAAATGTAGCCAGGCAGACAAATCCTCTTTTTCTGGTTCAGCTTTTGTAAAATACATGGTGATCGGATCGTGTTCTTGGTGGACGGCCTTTGTGCCTACTGATGTAATCTTCTTCTTCCGATATGCTGCACAACTCCTACGCATTGTTTGTGTGTTTCCGACTCTTTCACTGTTTCTAGTAGATATCGATAATATCTTAACTGGAGAAAATTACATTGCATACGGTTGGGTCACATATATTTGTAGAACCAGAGACAATAATGACACCAATCTCCTCCTCCTCCTCCTCCTCCTCCTCCATTTCCTCCCCATCCGCCTTCTCCTTCTTCTCCTCCTCCGTATCCAATTCTGCAACCTTCTCCTCCCCATCTTCCTCCACTATTTCTTCTTTTTCTTCTTTTCCGCCCTCCTCTTCCTGCTCCATGATGATGACAACACGAAGACGACAACAATGATGATGATGATGATGATGATGATGATGATGATGATGATGATGATGATGATTTTAGTACAGTTTACTACAATAAAAGAATATAGCATCTCGTGAGCTAAAGGTAGGTTCAGTAAGTCATAATATGTTCTGGAGGCAAGTGAAAAAGTTTAAGCTTAAAATGCAAGCACTTGAAGTTAGTAAAGTAAACAAAATTTAAATAAGTGTAAAGCATCTGAGAATATATATTTTGCGAACTTTTTATGATAAACTCTTTAATAACACGATTCGGTTCAAGGTTAGATTATCAAACATATAAATGATTTAACTAAAGCCAATAGCGGGATTCAAAAGTAGGGACCAATTTATTTGAAATGCTGAATAAGGCCACTTCAGGAGTGCGCACCTATTTCTGGATGACTTGCTTTTATAAAAGTCCCATTTGTGTCTTATGAAGGCTTTACCGGAGTCTGTGGTGTAGCAGCAACGTGCTTTCCAACCGTACGCAGAGGACCTAAGTTTGATTCCCGTGTGGCGAGAATTTTTATCGAGTATCACGGCCTATCAGCAAGGAACATGTGAAGGATGTTGCATCCCTCTTATCCTGGGTTTGTCCTTACAGGCAGAGTCGAAGCCTGCCTCTTGCACGAAATAAATTGTGTCGATTTAAGGGGAGGGGGGTGAAACACCTAAATATGACCAAACAATTAAGGCTTGTTCCATGATATATTGACATCCTATATGCTTTAGAACACCCGTGGCCTTTGAGTACTCATGAACTCTAAACTCAAAGAGTCATCGATGGTTAACAACACTGTCGTACTTGTTCACCTGAACGTTTCATTATTTATCATTGTTTGTTTTAGCTCTACCTAAAGCTACGAGGAAAAATGAAAGAATTAAACGTAAATGACTTCAGGTTAGTAGATTATTATTTAGAAGCATTATTAAAATTGGAATTCACAAAGGTTTTCTCATATTTGCTTTTGTCAGCTGTAAAAAAAATGTAACTGGGTGGCATAAATAATATGATAATGAAACATATAAAGACCATCAGGGTACATACGCGATGTCAACAGTGGCGGCGAAAAGAGTTACAAAAATAAGGGTGTATTAAATGAGAGACGCCCGGGCCTGTTGGTCAAAGTGTATCTAGCAAAAAAGAAAGAACAAGTATGATATCTTTGGTAATTCTTTCGCCAAGGAGAAGTATCCCGCTGTTTGCTTTACAAAGGTAATCGATTCGATCACAGAGATTGATCACAAACCCCTTGCCATTGGCAGCAGAAATAATCAATGTTGAGTAATCGATAAAGATCCTATCTTAGTTTTGCTCAGTATAAATGATTGCAAGCATAATATTTTCGAGCTATTTTTATTCTTCGTAAAGAGTGAATACCCATGAAACGATTTCAGCTCCAGCACTAATTTGTTTACGTTGAAAGATCACGAAATCGTTCAGTTTTAACTAGTTTTCGTACATGCCATCCGCCACCTATACCATGCATTCAGAACTACTTTTATGTATATATAACACTTATCGCATACAGTGTATAGTATAAACCCACGTTGGAAAGGGGGTGGGGAGTACTTCAAGTGATTTAAATAGAAAGCCCCGAAAGGAATCTGTTTAGTTAGTACACGCAAACACTTCGTTTAGTGTTGGAGCTGGTATGTGTTCAACGAGACGGAATGAAATGCTTTATCTGAGTGAACCAACTTTCCTTCCTGTGACAACACTATTCACGATCAGTTGGCTCTTTTATGACTTGCAAGGTATTATTGGGATTGTCCCTATTACCTATCTATAGATTATGCAAATTTTAAGAGAGAAGAATTATTGCGTTTTGTCACGATAAACGAGGGTCTTTTGTGTCTAAAACGTATATCGATAAAGAGTTACAAATAGCTTGGAAAAGGACAATATTTAAGCCAAGAACAATCAACAAAAGTAATATTATGATCGCATTGCAAGTTGATACAGTGTGTACAAAAGGGTAAGGGAAAAGAAAATGCCGAAACAGCAAAACACAAAAAAGCATAATATGCATACGTCAGCAAATTTTTGGTTTACCCCCCCCCCCCCCCCCCCCCCCCCCAATTAAAAACGGACTACAGCAGCTGAATGAAAAAGTAAATCTAGATCACATTCCTATCACAAAACAGCTGTGAGAAATTGCGTATAAAAATCAGGAAAAAGTTTGACTCAAGGCTGGCTTAGCTGAGGACAAAAAAAAATTTGAAAGATTACTGAAATAGTAGATTTGGAATTCCAGACCGACAAAAATTGTCACCAAGCGATGTTCGTAGTCCAAAATTTGCCCGAGATACTTGTCTAAGCTCTCTGTTGCTATACTATAATTTCACAGCCCTAATCCTTTCCGACCCTAAAGTTAACTTTGTTACTGTGTCATCATCCTTTAATTGGTTTTTTAAAGTACATCAGATGTTAGAATTACATTTTGTTGTCTGTAGAGTTACAATTAAAGAACAATATAAAAGGCAGAAGACTCAGAAAGGAAACATAAAGCCATAAACGCGAAGCTGAAGACACAGTAATGTGATATATTATTAGATAATTGTTTTTGCAGTGGAGAAAATAAATGCCGAGAGTGCAAATAACAAATCATAATAGACCCATGTGCAAAAGACACAGTAATGCAGGAATTTTTAAAAAAACGTTACAAGTGCAAAAAGAGAAATAATAGGGGATGGGGAGATAAAGGGTATACGGTATACAAAAAAAGAATACTGACAAAAAAAATAGAGTGCGTAGATTGAAAAATACCTGTCCATTCACTGAGTAGCTGGGACAAGCGTTCAACGGCGGCCTCTCTAAACAACACAACGTAGAATAAAACATGCGTATGACATTGAAGAACCTTAAAATAGATCTTTTCTTTTGTAGGAATTTGACCTGATCATTTCTACTTTTTTTAAAGTCACAAATGCCCAGCAGCTAACCGTGCTCGAAAATTATTTTTTTGGGGTGAGATTGTGACCATCTGAATCCACCATACGTGTGTGATGTCGCTGTGGGGAGAGACTTCATGTCTACGAAACTAACATAAATCTCAGTGGCACTGCCGACGAACATCTTATGCTGATTATTTTTAAAGAATGTAAAAGTATGAGATAACGATGAGGGCAAAAGCTGTCCAAATCCAAAACAATTTTTAAAGTCGTATTTCAAATGAATTTTTTTTTAGTCTTAATGTTTGCCCGTCTTCAAAATCATCTAATTTATGTCGATGGAGTAAAATAACTTTTGTAAATAACATGTATTCGTGTTTGTCAAGAGTCACTATCAACCCATAATAGCAAATATTTAGCACCGTTAAAACGTGCAACTCCACCGTAAAAAGCTGAATGAATACCCTTTAAGTAAGTTGTATGCTTTAAAAATCTCATAGACACTGATTGGCTTCATGGGGACAAAACTAATTTCGTGAGATAAAAACGAATAAGGAACTTCAAACATTATTTTCATTTTTTGTAATATCGTCCAAAACAGCCATTGCGATTTCGCCATCATTTTTGGGCATAGTAATAGTAAAAACAGACCTTTTAATCGTATCCATAACAATAATAACAACAACATTTACCCTAACCCACCTTCTTCTTTGATAGTCCTCGTCAGACAGGGGTACCGGCACCGTTTTTACATCTTTGCTCCGAGGAGGTAGGCTTGGGAGGATGAAGTCGCGGGGACCTTGGCGGGTTCTCTGAGAACAACATTGCTGTACGGTCACAGGCATGTTACTGTTACACTAGTTTTGTTTGACAAACGTACCTTTAATAATGCTGTTGGGATTGCTGCTGTTGCTGTTATTATTTGTTGCTTGTTTGTTTTTGTGCGGGGGAGGGGTTGTTGTTGTTTTTCTTTTTGTTCTTTTTTATGTCCTCGTTTAAGATTTAAAAAATTGTTTTTAAAGAAGAAGCAATAAATGGATGAATTATACGTTGAATGAAGGAAAGTAGGGGGGGGGGGCTGAGGGAGGTAGCACATAATATTGGATGTGAATAAAGATGTGGA